GGTTTCGTAAAAGACTGCGGTAAAACAGAATGACTCACTTGTCTAGTTTTTCCTATCCTCTTAAATTTCCTTATGGTGTTGTTTCATTTTCTCGTTCTAATGTAATTGAACACATCATTTGTTTCGTAACTTGCTCATCCTAGTAAGTATCTGGCACGGGCTGTTTCATCATCGTCCTCATCACTAGTTCCACTTACGCTGGTCCCATTATGGTACTTTGTCACAAAAAGCTGCGGATTCATCTAATTGGTTACACAAAAATCATATTTGGGCTTGAAGCACGTGTTCGGTGCTTGATGATCAAGAGTGCCTGGCGCCACTGAACAATCAAATTGGTTAATCCAAGCTTGATACTCTAAACTGATTGAGCCATTCGCACAAGGTGATAACCGTCCATCGTGGTGTAGCTCAGGGATAACGGTTTGAAATCCCAACCCGACTGATCACGGTTCGAGTCCTGACAGTACGCGCACTGCTGTCAAGTCCCAACCAGTACGAAACAGCTGTCCAGTGCCCTTTGTATCGGTTATCACAAACATTTCCATCGCATTTAAATGCATAGAAAGAGTGGGGAAATTAACGATCTCCCATGGAGTGAAACTCACACTGAAGACCATCAAGTGTGCCTGGTGCCTCTGAACAACCGAATGGGCTAGTCCAAGCATAATACTCTAAATTAACAGGTTTCAGTCAGAGGAATTGGTTGTTTCCTAATGCTGTTTTGCAGGTAAACTCAAGTGTGCGGTATATCCCAAATCGTATTTCTATGATTTGCTGCAAACAATGCACGACATCTGTTCACGCGAATGTCATTGAGAAATTTTAACTGCGATGGGGACGTAGTTAATTACTATATACCACAAGTGTCGTATGAGGATCACCAAATCTCAAAGTGTTTCACCAGTCGCGTTGAGTGTAATTTTGCCATAATCACGGATTTTACCATCCGCACTGAAAGATATTGCAAGGTCAATCGTATGTAATACATCTAGTGATAAGCGATAGACATTTTCTTTTCTGCAGCCGTTCACCTGGACGAAATGAAATGACCTTGATATATCATTTTGTGTGCTTGGAAGTTCAATTGCTGATCCGGTGCTAAGTAGGCAGCGCCGAGGAATTTGGTTCGAATATTGTGGCAACTCACGAAATGCCGTTGATTTACACACCTATCTCATGCGTGGATAGAGTAACAATGCACACAGAAGCGTCGCATGCTGTCGCGTGACTCACAGACATCAGCTAGTCAGATTTTCTCCATAGAGAGTTTACAAAAACACAACCAGATGAACATGGGGAACAACACATCTGGTGAGAGCGGATGGTAATGATATATGAAGCCGTTCTCCTTTTGGGTAGTTTATATTTGTGAATGAAATTATCTTCTTTTGCATTCATTCATATATTCGAAAAGGATGTACAAAAACACTCTCATATATCATGATGAAAATATAACACCATTGATCAACTGAGTATTTTTTCTGCAATCCAAAACATTCAATATCATATATTCAACAGATTAGAACTTGTTCAAACTAGTTGAGTAATATCTTAAAAATGTGGTGAACACTTCAAACAAGAGAGATGGAAAATAAAATTGCAATATACTCATGACGCAGTGACAAAACTTATGTAGAGAAAGAATTAAAATACCATATGGAAGTTACTTCGTGTCAGCCGCTAGGTTCCAGCGCGGACAATTCATGCCTTTTTACCGGACGTATGCCACTTTTACTGCGTCAATCCCGATGCAATGAGAATGGTTTATATGAATCACTTTGATGGTGGTGGTAGTGGTTCAGTGGTTTAGTCGTTGTGACCGGCGTGCGGTAGACCTAACGCTCCGAGGTTCGAGGCCCGTCACTACTACACAACTTTGACGGTATTCAGTTGTGCTATTATCCGGTTCAGTGTCATGCCTAATCTAGCGGGGCCACTCCATGTCCCGGGACTGAGGTTGTTGATCTTTGTGACTATGGGGTCCACCCCATCTGCTGTTTATCACACAAAAAATGTGTATATTCAAAATAGTTGATTGCATCCACTCGGGTTTTAATCTTTTTGGCTAGTTGTAACGTGATCATTGCGATGACTTAGATGACCCGCATAGGTTAACGAGTTTACGCATTTCTAGTCACGGTTCTCCTTTTGGATTCACTTGGGTCTGGAAAATAGTGAACATTTAGATTCAACTTCAAATTGCCCCACTGACTCTATTTGCAATATTTTTGTACAATCGAAAATCAAATCAATTTCAATACGATTTTCACTTTTTTCGCCCAATACAGCAATTCAAAGTTTTCTGATGGAAATGTTTGCAGAACCGTGCTTCCCCTGGTCCCATAGGATTTTTTCACAGTTGGTTCATTTCACGGTATGGAAATGTCACACGATGTACCTACCCTCATTCCACCGTTTTATGTGATTTCACACCAGTGTTGAAATATGAGGCATTCCAACGTTTTATTTAGTATCCGCTTGAGTGATTTAACGTTTACCGCACAAACGCCGTTCGGATGGGTGAATGTTTCCAGTGTGTCAAGCAATCACGGCAAGCAATTGTGGCCGGATTTCCATTGGGACAAAACATTAACTATAGATGTACCCCTGAGAGGGGGTGCTTGAACATTGAGTAAATGAAATGGAGAGCTAGAAGCTTATAATACTTGAAATGCCAAGATCAAGAATTCTTAAATTCGGCGAGCGGATTATGTCCTTGGTGATATTATTCTCCACGCATAAGAATCGGAATGTAATTTCTTAGAAATTTTGATGATTATTCTTTGAGTCGGTTCCAGCCTTCAACAATCACGCTGTATACAAAGACACGATATCTTCCTAACGTACACAGTCTACGGTCAAATGTACTCTGATCTAGCCACCGTGTTGACTTAAACCAAACCGGAGTCACGCCTTAAGCCAGTCGGCCTTTTTCACAGGTACTCTCACGCATTCAGTCGAACAAACCTACTCACTCCGTCGTGAGACATGCGGTCGTTGTTGTTGTTGATTTTCGAGAAAATACCGGAACAAATCCCCATTGGGTAAGGAAATCACCTTGAATTAGTTATCAAAAGCTTATTGATAAGCCATGCAAAGTGTTTGCTGCAATATTGCAAAATCCGCACTTTCTATTCCTATATTTCATATAATGGTGTCATCTGAAAACGGCATTACACTTGTCCCCATAACATTCGGTAGATTGCTGATGAACGGGGATGGAACATGGGGAAATGCACAGATCTTTGTGGTAACCGGCGTGCAACGGTAGTACATCCGGTGGAATAGTTTTGAAAAAGTCCAGGTAAATCAAATCATCTGCGTCCTCTTCGTTGGATACTCCCATTCATTCATTCATTCATTCCGGGTAAGAAATAAGTTGGTAGCAAAGGATGGCATTTGCGGGAATCGATGTTCATTTTGAGAAATAAAAGTCTAGTTTTCTAAGCGTTGCACAATCATGTCTTTTTATAACACTGGAAGCGGTAACCGGTTAGGTAGTTAGCTGGATCGCTGAGCTAGTCGCCTTTTAAACTGATTGGACAAACACCGTAGTCCAATATCCGTTGGAATAGGACGGCTGAATTTTGAGATATGGATAGGAATTCTGAAACGATGAGTGTTTGTGGTATGTATCGACTGCTTTGAAATTCTCGGTGATAAATTTAAAGGTGATCGGTGACTAGTCTCGAAGATGATACAACGGTAAGGAAACTGCAAGAAGACAATACTTGTCGCAGTATAATTTGTACACAGTGAATGCTCAGCAATATAGTCTGTTTCGTAGTGTTGACTGAGGCATTCCAAACACACTTTATTAATACCATTCTATGGTGTAGTCTACGAGGTAAGTTTAGATTTATGTGTACAACAGTTAAAGGCTTTACTTGAATCTCTGTCCCAGTTACTCCAAGTGACTTAGCTTATTTTTTCACTCTACACTAGATGCAGTGATCTGTCAGAAAGAGATAGTTACTACGGATGATCTTTGAGAGTTGTTTGCAATCCCCCAATTTTCAATAGTTGGGGATCAGACACTAGATTTCGTGACAAAGCCTGAGTAGATTTTTGAGATCGTCTGTAAAACAGTGGGTTACGTTCTTCGTCGCTATGGGGAGTCGACTGGGTGCAATGTGTCAGTTTTGAGGAATTTGCACTGCTCATCTTTCCTGCTGGGCTAAAAAAAGATCTGTTCACAATATTTACATTTCGGAGAAGTGTCCAACACAAATGTTCTTTTCAGACATTCCTTATCTATCCAAGCCAAAGTATGTCATCTGACTAGGGACATACTAGATAAAGACCATACGGAATCAAGAATATCAGCTAAATAGCGAGTTCGTGTCACATCAGTATTATCTCACAAAAGACCATTTTTTATAAAAGCAACTTTATCTTGGACAATCTGCTAAAGAAACCTTGGATAATCGGTCAGACGTTGTTGATGTGTTGTAGGCTCTCAGTAGGTAAAAAGCCGTATCTATGCCAACCAGTTCATGGTTGGCCACCATCAGTTTTCGTGAAGAATGCTCCGGTACTTTGGTTCCAGGATTTTGCTATGTTGGTGAAGTTTTTATTCGTTTGGTTATTCTGGGATTCAGTAGGGGTCAGAGGAGTAGTTCTGGTGGTCCTCTTTTCTCTCCTTATGCTTTAACTACAAAATGGTGATGGCCGTCTCTGGAGCACTAATGGTAACTTTCATTATCCGTGGACCGTTACCATGGAGGTTTAGTGTGTTGTTTGCTTTCAACCATGTGATTCTTGGAAACTGCCGAAAGTTTGAGTCTTTAACAATAAGTTTAAGGAAAAACTCATTTTATTCCCCTCTATTTTAGCTTGATCCTTCATTGGCACAAATTAATTTTAAATCATTTTCAGTTTTTTGAATTTGATTTTATTAAATGACTTTGGATGATAATTGAATCGTTTGTTCCAAAAACATCTCCGTCACTTTCATTCCGCGGAAACCGGTTGTACTTGTTGTTTATTTCACAGTTGGCATGGTCGATTTGTGGCGTGTTGTGGACACATTTCGAGATTTTGGTCTGCATCAAATCACCGAGAACAATGCCACTCTGGACTATGCCAGTACTGGCCGCCTCCTTTCTCGCATCTACTCACATCTGAACGGTGCACCGGATCCGAACTCGGGTAAACCGCCCAGAAATTTAGACATGGCCTCTGTACACATGGCTGTGGAACTGTTACTGGGTTGGTTGGCNTTTGTGCAACCGGACGTCTGACAGTTACGGGGCTGAAAATCGCACTGTCTGTTCTCACAAACGCCAAACCGGCGGAAAAGTTTCGATGTAAGTTGTGAGCACATATTATGTTGCATAACTCGCATTTGAATGTGCTTTCGTGTATTCATTCATATTTGCTATATGCTGTTTGAATTAAACCAGAATAGAATCTGTGTACCTTCTGTGCTCCTTCGATCGGAACCTGTAAACTGCCAGTCAGTACGGTTAATATAAAAAAAATGTAACGTGCACAGACACCAACCGCGGATAACTGAAAAACCACTGCGCACGGTGTGTGTGAAATCTAACTGAAAATGTGATTTAAAATGAGGCCTGTTTGTTTCTACGTGTTTGTCACGGTAAATTCACTCCACCCAAATTGGGGTTATTTGTCGATTGAACACAAACCACTAAAGCAATATTTAGTGCCGGACGGAATGACAGCTATCAAACATATGCGTATGCAAAGTTGATTCCATTTGATCGTCGGTCATTTTTATCCAACTGAGTAAGTTGGATCGCATAATCTGAAGGACAAATAATTCGTTCGACTTCCGTCACGTGGGATAAACCCATACGATCTGACGGAAACAATTTAGCACGGATGTACTAAAATTTGCATAGTTTACGGATGATTTAAATCAAGGCACATAGTAGAGAAATAAGTAATCTGAAGCACCTGCCTCCCAGATCCAGTGGATTAGTTACTTGCAAACACCCCGTTGGAAACAAATTACTGATGTTACGCATCGATTAGGAAACCATTAACCAGATGTTTAGCTGTTCCCAGTGGTCGAAGGACCGGATCACAATGTGATGACTCTTGCATCTGACCAATAGGGTTTTGCTAAGCCACTCGAAGATGTATTCGTCTATCAACTGATACCTTAAGGAGAGTGATTAAATGAATACATTTTATTTTATACGATTGATCAAATGGACTTAAAAAAGCTGTTCAAGAAGATGGGTGTGTAAAATATGCAACACCAAAGCAAATCACATGAATCAATGAAGTAATTTTAGAGTATACAACTTTCCGAAACCTCATCATTGTGATAATTTTACCACAGTGCGTGTGGTATTCCCGTGAGGAAACCCACGTGACCTATATAGCTGTCCGAATCTGATAAGGGAATACAGCTGATTTCTATCAGAATAGTCCGACAAATAAAAGCCAGCACGAACGCGTGATTGTGCCGCAGTTGTCAGTCTCACAATCACTCTGATTCTGTGCCATCAATCGTGGAGTATTTTCGTATGCCG